TCCTAATGCTGTATCTACAGCACAAAGCTAGGTACTTGGGGAACATAAAACTGAAGGAGAAAGGGCTTTTGCTCTCAAGAAATTCATGTTTACAAGGGAGTTATGTTGTAACTGAGTGGCCCAGGGAGAAAGCCCAATGGAGGAAGTGCTGGAATGTTTTCTAAAGGTCTCAGAGAAAGAAACATACCCATGCAGAGAGGGTCAAGTGATAAAGGGTTATTTGAATGTCATCTAAATCTTTATTATAAACCACTAAAATTGAATAGAATTTCTGCATTAAGGTGAATGCAATAAAGTTAAGAATTAGAGGACTGCCACTGATTCCTTCTAACTCTATGAATACATAAAGTAAACTTGAACAAATATAGTAATGTAACTTTCAAATGTCTCTTTAATCAGAGTCATATGGTTCTTTCATGATATTTCTCAAGCTTGTTATGTTTATTTCAGACATTGAGTGGACTCATGGAAAATTATTAGGAGCCAAAACTTATTTTCCATTCTAAAAAGAAAAGAAATATTGCAGATCTATAATGTTGACTTTAATCACTTTTAATGAAACATAAGTGTGCACAGATAGAAAATATGCATAAACTTCTTACAGCTTTTATGAACTGTAAAGCCAAAAGACATACAAGTTAAGGGAAAACTTTAAAAAATAACATTTCATTGAATGATACTAATGTGAGATTTTGTTTTTCAGAAGCCAAATCAGCAATACGGAGACCATTGTCAGTAGAAAGATACATTTGTACTTTTTGTTTCACTTGTGTTTGACTTGTATCTGATTTTGATTTTGTATCTAATGGTTCATCAGGTACATCTGTGGCAATGTGCGGTCATCATTTTTCTTAACAAATAGCTTATTTTTATCTATTAATTTACTCCTAATTTTATTTTTATCTACTAATTCATTGTTTCATTTAATACCCCAATGCAATACTGAAGAGAAAATATATTATTAAATGTACCCTGTGATGATTCTACTCCTCCTTTTCTATTTGTAAGTTATCATAAAACTTTTGTTCTTAGAATAAATCATAACATCGTTGGTTTAGTTAGCATAAATGCATAATTTACTTTTTAAGTCCATTTATTTTATTTTCTCTTTAGCTTGTGGCAATATATATACATAACCTTGCCTCACTTCATCATTGTCATTATGCAAATCAGTACTGCAAAAGAAAAGTTTTGTCTTTTTAATTGGTAAGAGAATTGTGCGTGTGGGGTAGACAGGGACTGCTGTTATCAAACTTAACATCAAGGCCTTGCCAACATCAGAGCCTGCTCACCAACACTTTGAAAGTTTCTCTCTGATCCCTTGGCACCAACATCTTATAAATGCAAACATGGGAACTGAAGTCAGATGGCAGCAGTCAGTCATTAATATTATTCAGATTATCTAACGTATGCCTGCCTCAGTATTAGCAGTTTTGATCGTCAGTGTGAAAACACAGAATTTTTAAATTCCCCCGAGAACTTGAGAGTATGTCTGTAGATTTCTAGTAGACAGGAACACGTCTGACAAATGCTGGTCTATGGACTATTAGGCAAATACCTAGTAACCAAGAAGTAGTTCCTGTTTGGTTTTGCTTTTCTTAGAAAAGATTGGCAACATTTCTGAGGATATCTGGTGATGTTCTCTTCCTCCGCCTTGATCTGCTCTCGACAGTCAGTAAACCAATGCCCTCTGTTTTTATGTGAAAGGACTTTGTGGAATAGGAGTGGGTATAAGACCTAAACAGAATTCAGTTAAACAAATGGAGCGGCTTGAATATTTTCATGTAGTACTGGAATTGACCTTCTCCTTTCCACTGCACCATGAACTCTTTGAGAGAGGATCTAGGTCTTCTAACCCATTGTACTCCCAGTGTGTGATACCATGCCCGGCACATAGCAGACATGGAGAAAATGCTTGCTGAAAGAATGAATGAATGTTGGTATAAAAAGTTCTTAGTGGTATAGTATGTGTCAGGTGACATGCTCCAGTGTCTTATTGCTGAAAGTCTATGACCCTTAGCTCACGGGTGCAATAAATTAGCTGGCCTGTAGAAGACGAGCTTCCACTTGCCTCTGGTATGTTCTGCCCTAAAGAGTCAGACCAATTCCTTTCACTGCCTAATATAGTTAATGTCTGGACAGTGATAAAAAGTTCCCCCGTTGGCATATTTCCTCTGGTGTCTTTCCCTGTCCTCAACCTGTCATTCTTGTGAGTCAGGAAGCTGTCATCTTTTCCTGACTCCCAGAAAGCATACAGGCCACAGTCCAGAGTATGATCTCTCTTATGTCGCTCACCTCACTCCGTCGAGCTCCAGTTAGAGAAGTGGAGGAGAGTGCGCGCCCTGTTTGTCTTCTCGTCTGTTCTGTTTGCCTGACTCATGTTCATGATAGGCTACGGAGATAAACTGTGTAGTTGTTGGAAATAGCTTTTGATTCTTCAAGATCAAAGCATGTTATTACTGACCCTTACAAGAAGATTTCTTTGGTTAAGTTTTTGTTCATTTTTTCTCCATGATAACTTTTCTCTAATTTAGCTTTTTTCAACCAACTTTCATATCTTGTACCAAAAAAAATCGTTCACCAGATAATGCTTCCTGGTTTCCGTCATGTGCTTCAGACATGTGATTGTAACACTTGAGGGAAAATGTTCCGCTTGGTTCCAGTCTTCAGACTGAAACAGCTAAGCAGAAAGGCTTCTGAGCAATTTCTTTACATACGGGTCTGACATTCATTTCTTAGGTGTGCGTAGGTGAAACTCCTGGCAGTGAAGGTCAGAAAGGAAAATTTGGTAATACCAGAGATTAGAAGCTTCATATGCTAATGTATTGTTTTAAATGGATCTAGCCAGAAGCAGGCAAACTCTTTATCACTCCTTGTAAGCTGTGTGGCTGAAAGCAAAGCCGTTGACTTTTCTGTACATTATGGAGTTTTCAGTCTCAGCAGTTAAACCTTGTTTTACACCTCATTGTTCTTCAAGCTTGTAAAAATTAAGAGATTTGGAATTTGGAAATATAAAATACAGTAGAACTTTATGAAAATATCAAACAGAAAAACGATAATCTAGAAAGAGGAACTAAATCTAAATAAATACTTTTATCAAAGATTAATATTTTATTTCATAGTGTACAAAAATCAGACTATACTGTCGTTAGCACTTTGAGTTAATTGTTTGGTTGTGTTTACTCCTATGTTCCTATAAAATGAAATGCTTTCAGTACCATAGTTTATGTTCTTATTTTTTCTTTTTATACAGTGGATTATTCTTTTTTTTTTCAGCATAACAGTATTCCTTGTTTTTGCACCACACCCAGTGCTCCATGCAGTCCGTGCACTCTCCAATACCCACCACATGGTTCCCCCAACCTCCCACCCCCCGCCCCTTCAAACCCCTCAGATTGTTTTTCAGAGTCCATAGTCTCTCATGGTTCACCTCCCCTTCCAATTTCCCTCAACTCCCTTCTCCTAACTCCCCTTGTCCTCCATGCTATTTGTTATGCTCCATAAATCAGTGAAACCATATGATAATTGACTCTCTCTGCTTGACTTATTTCACTCAGCATAATCTTTTCCAGTCCTGTCCATGTTGCTACAAAAGTTGGGTATTCATCCTTTCTGATGGAGGCATCATACTCCATAGTGTATATGGACCACATCTTCCTTATCCATTCATCCGTTGAAGGGCATCTTGGTTCTTTCCACAGTTTGGCAACCGTGGCCATTGCTGCTATAAACATTGGGGTACAGATGGCCCTTCTTTTCACTACATCTGTATCTTTGGGGTAAATACCCAGTAGCGCAATTGCAGGGTCATAGGGAAGCTTTATTTTTAATTTCTTTTCTTTTCTTTTTTTTTTTTTTTAAGATTTTATTTATTTGACAGACAGAGATCACAAGTAGGCAGAGAGGCAGGCAGAGAGCCCGATGTGGGGCTCAATCCCAGGACCCTGGGATCATGACCTGAGCCACCCAGGCGCCCCTATTTTTAATTTCTTGAGGTATCTCCACACTGTTCTCCAAAGTGGCTGCACCAACTTGCATTCCCACCAACAGTGTAAGAGGTTTCCCCTTTCTCCACATCCCCTCCAACACATGTTGTTTCCTGTCTTGCTAATTTTGGTCATTCTAACTGGTGTAAGGTGATATCTCAATGTGGTTTTAATTTGAATCTCCCTGATGGCTAATGATGATAAACATTTTTTCATGTGTCTGATAGCCATTTGTATGTCTTCATTGGAGAAGTGTCTGTTCATATCTTCTGCCCATTTTTTGATATGATTATCTGTTTTGTGTGTGTTGAGTTTGAGGAGTTCTTTATAGATCCTGGATATCAACCTTTTGTCTGTACTGTCATTTGCAAATATCTTCTCCCATTCCGTGGGTTGCCTCTTATAAAAATGAATATGGTGTGCTTTGAAATAAAATCATGTAAATGACAGGAAGCAACAGGGAAATTTTTATTAAAATTGCTTTCATATAAAAAATTGAAAATAGTAGCATGATAATGGCTCATCAAACAAAAAGAAAAACCTGGTGTTCTTACATCTATCTATAGTAAAATAATGGTAGAAATCGCTCACATTGTCATGTTTGAAATGTGTACATATAAGCGTATATACCTTTGCACAGGCATACATGTAATGTGTTCTACCAACTGTGGTAACTAAAGGTGTTTCAGGGTTTCAGTTATTTCAAAGAGCCATATGCCTTTACGTTGAATATGTATTGAATAGATCCCATCTGCCTCCAAGTAGGTATACGCTCATGACACATGATGTAGAGGTGTGCCCCCAGGAAAATAGATGACTGTCCCTATACACTTTTTGGAATAACAGGAATCAGCCTGAATGGCCCAAATATTTGCTTAGATACAAGCCCACAGTAGGCTTTACTTCAAAGCAGAGACTGAGTTGTTTTTAAATGTTTTTAAAAATGGTGCCTAAGGCATGTTATGTTTCAGAAGTCTGCCATATACATTCTGAGCTGTTTGTTTGCTTGAATAGGGAGAAGATCCAATTTATCCGAACTGAAGGGACCCCAGGATTGGTGCGTCTTTCTAGTGATGCTGACCTTGTTATGTTGCTGAGGTATGGAGCGCCGGTTTTTTCACTAGAAAGTTTTCTGTCACTGGATGTTATGGAGTGTTTTAGACAATGTTATCCCAATATTAGTAGCCTAAAAATGTCTCTGTCATTCTTAAAGACTTGTGGAATACTCATGTGGAAGATGTAGGATGCTGGTGATGTAGTGATAATTCATTTCAGATTGCATTTCTTAGTCTGAGATCTGATTTTTTAATTATTTATTTATTTATTTTTTACCCTGGTGATAAATGAGGTGGTATTGGAGAAGGGAAAGATTAATAAAGGCCAATAGCTAGAATGTTCCACTCACCAAATGGAACGCAAACATATATAGGGCTTTCCCCTTTGGAGTAAAAGGTCATATTTATATTTTCTTTCAAATTCTTTCCTCCAAATGTGCTTTGTTTTTTTATTTTTTCTGATTTGATGTGATTTTTTTTTAAAGATTTTATTCATTTATTTGACAGAGAGAGATCACAAGCAGGCAGAGAGGCAGGCAGAGAGAGAGAAGGAAGCAGGCTCCCTGCTGAGCAGAGAGCCCGATGCGGGGCTCAATCCCGGGACCTTGAGATCATGACCTGAGCCAAAGGCAGTGGCCTAACCCACTGAGCCACCCAGGCGCCCCTTTATGTGATTTTTTTAAAATGATTTTGAGAGTTTACGTTTGGGAAATTAGATCAGAAAGTTGAAATTTGATCACTAGTACTCATTGCTAACTTGATAGCCCTTCATAAAATTGACCAGTTGCATTTTCTTTCCTGATGGTTAGGTCAGCTTTGGTTTTAATTTTTAGAGTAGTTTAGAAAGGAAACTGGCAAGTTTTCAAAATATTTTTCATTTTTAATATTATCCCTGAAATGTAAGAGACTAGAATAAGTTAATGCTTTGCTCTACCCAGTAGTTGGGACACCCACCACCATAACCTCCAAAGAATTAAAGGCAAAGTCATACTGAAAACAGACCACACACCATTTTATTGATCATAGAGTGCTAACAATCTCATTCATGATATTCATGATGATCTTGACCCTAACCATTTCTAACTGCCTACATGATAGTTGCCATACTTGTAAAACTGAAGTCAAAAAATTATCTTCCTTTCCTGGATAGTTGGAGCATAGTTCAAAGGGATATATAATCACTTCCCACAGAGACTTTGCTTCACCTGATCCTGAACAAGACCTATTGGGAAGCAAGGGTTACTTCTCAGTCAAAGGGGTGACCTATGACTATGTTACACTAAATGAGTTCTAAGAACAGAATATAGTGTGCTACATGGTCAGGAAGACTGTTGGTCAGTTACCGTGTAATATGATGTTTCTACCATAGTTTGGTTGGTAATAAAATTGTTCTGTTGTAAAATTCTAGAAATTCTAGAAATCTAAGGGTTTTTACTTAAACTAAAAAATTCTGCATTTGGAATTAATAAAAACACAATGATCATAAAATAGAAATCATGACTATCATTCACCTATTCTTAGTTAAATAATCTTTAGATGGTATAGTCCTAAATATTTTAAGTTACAGTATAGCTTAGAATATTTGTGCTTTTGTAAACACTGCAGTTTTCATGAGTTTCTATGTGTTATATGGTTGAACTTAAAAATACTTAAAAACTGGGGCACCTGGGTGGCTCACTGGGTTAAAGCCTCTGTCTTCAGCTCAGGTCATGAGCCTCTCTCTCTCTCTGCCTCTCTGCCTACTTGTGATCTCTGTCTGTCAAATAAATAAATAAAATTGTTTAAAAAAATACTTAAAACTGATACATGTATTTTTAAAAAAAGGAAAATACATATATATGTATCAGTTTTAAGTATGTATATGTATGTATATACATATATACATATGTGTGTGTATATATAGATACACACTGTATCTATGCATGATATATATATATGAGCAAAGCTACATTTTCCTCAATTTGGGGAAAAACTGTATTATCTGAAGTTAATTGGACTTTGGAGAAGTGTGAGAAATTCATTTATTATATAATAGTTCTATAATTATTATATTCAAATGATGTTATTAAGTTCTAGACTTATTTTATTTAGATGATCAGATGTATTTATTAAATTTAATAATTGTACATAGTGACACAATGTATTACATGTGGATGCTTAATAAATAGTGTTTAATAGTTATTGAAACATTTTCAGATGTCCTTAGTTATTTTTTATTTTACTTTGGAGTTTGAGTCATTTGAATCAGTGACTATAAACTCAAGCAATGGACTAGTTGCATATATAGTGAAAGACTTTGTGTCTATTTTTATACTTTGCCTATTTCCTTTTTCTTTTTTTCTTTTCTTTTTTTTTTTAGATTTTATTTACTTATGAGAGAGAAGAGAAAGAGGGAGAGCATGGGGTAGGGGAAGGAAAAGCAGAGGGAAAGGGACAAGCAGACTCTGTGCTGAGTGCTGAGCACTGAGCCTAATGTGGGGCTCGATCTTAGGACCCTGAGATCATGACCTGAGCCAAAATCAGAAGTCAGATGCTTAAATGACTGAGCCACCCAGGTGCCCCTACTTTTTTTTTAAGATTTTATTTATTTATTTGACAGACAGAGATCACAAGTAGGCAGAGAGGCAGGCAGAGAGAGAGGAGGAAGCAGTCTCCCCGCCAAGCAGGGAGCCTAACACAGGACTCGATCCCAGAACCCCGAGATCATGACCCGAGACGAAGGCAGAGGCTTTAACCCACTGAGCCACCCAAGCACCCCAGGTGACCCTATTTTTAAAAAAAGGAAAATCACTCCTGGTACAAATGGACTTGATTATCAGCAAGCTGCAATATCGACATGCCACATAGCTCTAGGAAATTATTCCATTCAAAATAAGCCCATGTAAGATTGTTCTCCAAAATAGCTATTATAAAACTCAAGAATTTTTAAATGACGTTGTTGCATTTGTTATTAATTATTCTGTATCATATATTCTTTCATTAACTGAACTCCTGTAAAAAATCTACCTCTACCATAGCTCATATATGAAATGATTGATTTATTTGACTGTTAGAATTTTGAAGTTTATATAGTGAAAGATACCATATATAAAAGTACAAAGAAAGGTAACAAACTAAAAGAATATATTCACAACCGTAAAATGGAGATATTATGAATATGAGAAGAATGCTTTTAAATCAATTCAGAAGAAAAGAACCCAAAAGAAAAACAGATAAAGGGTAGAAGAAAAAGGCATTTCTTAGAAATTGAAGTAAGAATAGCCAGTAAACTGGGGCGCCTGGGTGGCTTAGTGGGTTAAGCACCTGCCTTCGGCTCAGGTCATGATCCCAGCTCCTGGGATAGAGTCCTGTGTCGGGCTCCCTGCTCAGTGGGGAGTCTGCTTGTCCCTCTCCCTCTGCCCCTCCCCCTGCTCATGCTCACTTGCTCTCTCTCTTTTTCCAAAATAAATAAATTAAACCTTAAAAAAAAAGAACAAAAACCAAAAAACAACATTTAAAAGAAAAGATTAACCAGTAAACTTATGGACAGATGCTAGCAATCATAAAATGCAATTTCCAATGATGACATACTATTTCATAATATTAGATTTGGAAAAAGTTAAAAAATTAAAAAGTCTGATAATATTGAATAAGAAATAGGGACTCTCATACTGTCTGTACTTGGTGGGATTGCAGTTCCTACAACCTTTTCAGAGTACAGTTTGACAATATTTCGTATAGTTGAAAAGGCCTATGTGTTATGACAGAGCACTTCTGCTTTTAGATACATACTGTATTTATAGTAAAACTCCTTGCCTCTGCACAAGGAAATATATACAGGGTCTTCATTGCACCATTGTTGACAAAAGCACAAAGTTGGAAAAAAATTAAATATTTGTCAAAAGAGATAGCTTCAAAAGTACCGACGTTTTGGGCTGGATGCATGTTTGTTGCTGGGAGCTGTTCAGTCTCTGTGCCTTGTGAGATGCACCAGCATCATGGCTTCTACCCACTAGATGCCAAAGGCAGACCCTCCCAGTTACGACAATCAAAAATGTCCTCAGACATTCCCCAAAGTCCCCAGATGGCATGCGAGAAGGCAAAATTGCCTCAGTTGAGTGTTTACAACCTTAAGGAGTCCTTTTCTTAACCTCTGCAAGAATGAACTGTTGCCACTTTTTTCTGAATGTTTCCTAACAGGTTTCTAGATTTGGCCGAGTTTGAGGAAAACCTACCTCTACCTCTTAATTAAACAAACAAACAAACAACAACAACAAAAAAAACCCACAAGTCCTCTTATTTTACTGTTGTTTCAAAGCTTTGTCAAATATTCCTCAAGTGTCTTGTCGAGTGTCAAGAACTTAGTGTGATCAGTAGTACTTTTATCATAAGATTTAATGAAAAGTCTGGGATTCTAAGATCTCACATCCCTGATTATTATCTTTTAGGAAAGTCTGAGAAAGAGAAATTTCAATATGGGGAAGAACAAAGACACTGGATCAAATGTGAATAATCTGAGATCAAAATCCTCATATTAAAAAAAAATGATAAAGCCAGAATGAACAAGGGAGCTAACTCTGAGCTTCTGTAGTTGTTTAGGAAGTGTTTGATTTTGCTTTTAATTCTCCAGTTAAATCCTAAACTCTTTGAACATTGAGACTCTGTCATATATTTCTTAGAATGAAAATAAAGAACATACTTTGTGTCTCTATTATGGATTCTTAGTAGACATTGTGTGTTGTGTGTTGAATCTTATTCTTGAAGCTAAAAACCCAGGTACTATGTTCAAGCAAATGTGTAAATTCAGACTCACATATTAGGCAAAATAGGGATGCCGGGTGGCTCAGTTAGTTAAGCGACTTCCTTCGGCTCAGGTCATGATCCCAGAGTCCTGGGATTGAGCCCGCATGGGGCTCCCAGCTCAGCAGAGAGCCTGCTTCTCCCTCTCCTTCTGCTTGCTGCTTTGTCTCCGTGTGTTCTCTCTGTATCTCTCTGTCAAATAAATAAATGAAATCTTAAAAAAAAAATAAAGTGGCAAAATAGAAATCGTGTTATCCAAAGCTAGTAGGAAAACAGGCACATAATCACAGCTTCCACAAAAGCCACAACAGGTGGCTGCTTATCCCAAGAATTAGCTAAAGGAGAGAGGGGACAGGTGCTCCCTTTGGGATGTGCACTGGACCTCAGAGTGAGAAATCGACAGTCTTACTCATTTGGAAGCAAGGCTTTTCCCCATTGCTTTGGCTAAAGTGTGCATTTTGTTTCTGGTCTCTCCCCAGTTTATTTGAAGAAGAGATAATGTCTTATGTGCCTCCACATGCCTTACTGCACCCCAGCTACTGTCAGTCCCCACGTGGCTCCCCCGTGTCCTCTCCCCAGAACTCACCAGGTAAGTCTACCTGTTGTGCTCAGTGAGTCCTCTGAGAAGCGTACCCTAAGACCAGATGTTTTATCCTTTGTAAAGGACGCTAAGGGAGTGCTTGGGTACATCATCAGTGTGAGCACGGGTACATATTCTACGGCACTTAAAACTGACTTGTTCCCATGACCATTCATTTGGACAGGAAGATAATGACTTTCCAGAAAAAGAGGATAAATGTTAGCAGTATGATATACTCAGATGCAGGATTTGCTTTTCATCATGTTACGTAGTGTCTAATCTATCCTGGAAAATATTAGGACTAACAAAATACTATGTTGGCTTTTGGACTGAAACAAGTTTTGGTTCGGAGACAGATTCAAATAAAAAGAAATATCTACTTGCCAGAAATAATACAGAATTAAAAGTAGTTTAATGGAGTTCGATAGGTTTTTCCTGCAGTAATGACTAACTACATTAGATAGGAAGACTAGAGACCAGAGGCAGATGAAACATGTTGACAGATAAAACAAACTAAAATATTTAAGTTCAAAATCTTTTTGAAAGATGTATGGTGTGAATGAAGGTGTGAGTGGATGTATGGATGAATAAATGATAGAAAATGCAGCTTAGGAAATGAGTTTTTTAAAAAGAAAATAGTTTTAATGTTGACAGAGCATTAGCTATGTATTGTTTACGCTTTAATAGCTATCAGAATTTAAAACTGTTTTAATAGAAATCTAAGCACTATTATGTGTCACTAAAAGCTGCGTTGTAGTCTTTGATGTATGACTTGTTTTCACAAATCCTATGTTAATGAAGCTAAAGCCTAATTGAATACCACAAACAGGAAAAGGTCTATTAATTTGTTCTTTTAACACAGATTTATTGAGCATTCAACTATGATCCAAGCACTGAGTTAGACTCCAGTGCTACAAAGACAAATAACGCAGTCTCTGCCTTTGAAGGATTCATGGTGGGACAATGAGTCAGCAAATGACTCTGGAAAGCCATGTGGTTGGTTCTGTAAGGAGAGGTATGGGAACTCCGATTCGGGAACTGTTCTTCCTTCAAGACCATCAGTGGGTGTTTGGGGATAAAGATAACAGACATGGTGGGAGCCTTGAAGGATGATGAAGGTGGGCTGGAGCGAGCAGGGTGTTCTAAGTGAGCGAGCGAGTAGTATGACCTCGGCCTCAGAAGTGTGAAAGAAGTTTAGGGCCAATTAATAGCTACAAGTAAGAGCAAGTTCTCAAAGCTCAGGTTAGAAAGATAGACTAGGGCTGGTTGGTCACTGAAGCCTTACTTTGTAGGCCATATGGAGCCACTGAAACTTTGCAAACAGAAGAATATCCTGTTTTACAAGGAACAGTTTGGTGGCAATAGGGAGGATGGTTTAGAAGACGAGATAATGGAGTCAGAGAAACCACTTGGGAGGTTGTTGCGTTAATACAGGTTAATACTAGGACCTGCTGAAGGGCTGGACTAGAAGTGTTGGAGAAACAGGAATTAGTTCAAAGGATACGTAATATATAGAGACTCAGGACTCTGAGTCCAAGAAGGGAAGATTCTGAGGTCAAGGCAAATTCTGAGGTCCCCAACACCTAGACTACCAGGCAGATGGCAACATCATTTACCAGGGAAGGAAAAAGATTAGACTGAAAAGGAGGGGTAGGAGGAGTTTAGTTTTGAGCATGGTTTTTTGAGGACTCTCTGAACCATCCAACTAGAGATACAGAAGATGAGTGGAAAAGACAATCACGGAGCTCAGGAGAGGCTGGTGGCTCAGCATATAGGTATGCTGGTAGCAGCTGAAACCCAGGGCAGATTGGAGGAACCAGGGAGGACAAGCCCATGGAAAGAAGAGAAAACAGGATGGTAACATGAAGAACTCCAGTATTTCACGGACGGGCTGAGAAAGAGGAGCCATTGAAGCAAAGAGGGCCAGTGGATTTTGGAAGAGAATCAGGAAAGTCTTTTCAGGGAAGCCAGGCTTCAAGGAGTAGAGAGTGGGCCAGATCCTCAAAGCATTCAAGAAGGATGAGTCCTGAGAAGAGGCCATTGCATCTGAAAATCACGAAGTTATAAATGGCCTTTTCTAGAGAAGTTTCTATGAGATAAGAGGTTATAAACTAGAATGTGACCACTTGCAGAATGATACAGGATGTGAAAGTAGAAGCCAGAAGTGTAGAATGTTCTTTTTAGGAAGTATGGGGATGAAAAGGAAGGAAACTAGGACAGTATTTAGAAGGAGAAGATGGGTTAAGGAAGAGGTTTCAGGTTAGGGAAATTGAGCATGTATGTGTACAGAGGTCAGAAGATGTGGGTGGAAGGAAACTAGTTTGTCGAAGCAGCAGTCAAACCACAGACCCATGGAAAGGCAGGACACTGGAGACAAACGTGAAGTCAACTTTGGAACAAAGCAGGGACACATATTTTGATGATCCAGGATGAAAAGAAATAAGTATATGACACTTCAGCTAAGTTTCCAGATGTAGGGGGAAAATTAGTGGAATTCGGAGCCGGCCTCAGTCTTTACCAATGGTCTGTGTCTCTGGGCAGTTTGCTTCCTTCCCTGAACTTGAATGTGATTTTCTATAAAATGGAAATAAGAGCAGTCACCTCCCATGGACACTTGGGGGAGAACGCTTGCCTGCTGCTTGCAACACAAGAAGCATCCAATAAGTGTTAATTTATCCCTTTTTTCTTTCTTTCTGGAAATCTGATCCTGAGAAGTATAGTTTGTCAATGTTCAAACATTAATAACTGAAAAATAAGAATTCATTTCTCCCTGATTTGCAGAAGCTCCTGCCTAAGTATTTAATCATTCTGTCTGGTCTTTATCTTAGTTAGATCCTATGATGAAGTTCAAATGGGTTATTCCTTTACCTGATGCTTTGTGGTTAAAGGAATGAAGCCTTGTGGATTATTGCTCATTTCAGTCAAGGCTGCCCTTCCTGAGGCTTTTCTGCAGCCTGCCCTCCCCAAGAAAGAGGTAGATCTACAGGTTCTGTCCCTTTCGGAGCCCTACAAAAACATGTGCTCCTGGGGACTGGCTAATCATTCTTTGAGACTATAGGAACTTTCTAAAGGGTGACTAATCATTTAGCATCACAAAGGAACATGAGTAATCTCTGATGGTAGTAAAATGCATTCTGGAAGCACATTTAGAGTCCAACATTTTCCAAAGAGATGTAGAACCCAAATATATCTAAATTGCTAGCAGCGTTTGTGGTGGTTTTAATTTACAGGGAGAATCATCTCCACATTTTTGGCCTATTCAATTTCAGGGGCTCTATTTGATCTTGAAATTGGGATGAACTGCCTGATACCAGTGGAAGTTATTGTAACTGATTCCACATGATCTTACAAGACCAAGACTAGCTAAAGTCGTTTGCCCTGTGGAGTGATCTTCTGATTCCTTGAGTATGAAAGCATCTCCTTCAACCACTTTCCTGAAGCTTTTTTGTGAAAAGCATTTTGGATGTTTTAAAGTGGTCTGTTCTTCCTTCTTGTGACTAGAATTTCATCCCTTTTAGTGGTATGAGCATAATACTGTGAAAATTATGACAGTAACAAATTTGAATGATCTTTCAGAATGCCTTGGGATCAGTAAACTTTCCATACTTTTCCTTATTTGAGCACATTTACAACTTTTCAAGTGCAGTGGAGAGAGGGGCTTTGGAAACTTTGACTTGCTGCTTTTTGCAGCTGTTAGAAAGCTCACCTAAAATTGGTCAAAATTTTGGAATGTGAAGGTTTGTTTTTCTAGGGCCGTTATAATGCCAGTCCTGACCTTAGCTATGCCAGAAGGGAAAAATCTTTCCAAACACCATATAGTTCTTATGCCAAATATGGGACCCAGAAGTTTATTTAAGGACCTTTTGTAAGTCCACATTTCTAGGAATTTAAATGCAATAACACTTAATTTATCTAATATTATTGGAGATGTGCTCACATATGTGAATTTTCCATGTAACCAAAGCTATGACTAAGTGTCAGAGAATTTAACCCACCATTTACTGGAACTCTTTCACAAATACATTATATTTCTCCCTGCTTTCCTATACACAGTGCATTAAAGATGTTTCAGGTTTGGGGGATCATCGTACAGAGCTGTTACAACTTGACTAAAACTGGACTATCTGGAAGCTAGGTGGGCACCAGGTCACATGCAACAGGGTTAAACAGACCAGAGAGCACTGAAGAGCCATGTGATTCTTCGCTGAAAGTTGTCTTGAGGGCATGGGATATGCACACTGAGACCCCGTAGGGCCCTCTTTTCCTCTCTTTCTCCCTTGAAAGTCAGCATCTTGGCTGCTGCTTTTCTCATCTCCTGCTCTTTTGTCTTTCTGTCTCTCTGTCAAAGAAATAAATAAAAGCTTAAAAAAAATAGTTTGTAAATGGAAACATCAGCAAGCTCACAACAGTGACCTAGAGCCTTTCACTACTCTTAGAGAATAAAGCAAAAATGCAAAAACTTTGGTAATTGTGCTTTGGGTCAGCCATTGTGGAAGTGTTTCTTTCCCCTTAATTTTAATTATTGAGCTATGTTCCAGAAGACCGAGTCTTCCAGAAATTATTATAATGCTCGATGGTTTGTTCACTAACAGGGAATTATAAAAAAAAATAGTAATAAATTTTTTAAAAAGTCGTAGAGACGTTTTTTAGAAAGTGAACCAGGAGAGAAGTAGGCTTCTGAGCTACCCCAGTACAGAGGCCAGAGCCATGCTGGATTAGGCCAAACTCTATCCCATCCAATGCAGAGTGAGGGCCAGTCACCAGAGCCATCTCAGATCTTGGTGGCACATCTGGAATCCAAAACACCCAGACTTCCTAGTGATTTGATGCCAGAATATTTCTCCTATGCCCTGAAGCATTTTGTCAGGTAGAATTCTTTAGTTTGTATATGATTATACAATTTCATAATGGTAAATGGAAACAGCATCCTACTATTATCATACTTCAGGTCTGCCTAACAATGATAAAGGAAAAAACCTAGTATCTGTTACTAAAAATTTTCCTGCAAATAATTAACATAATGCTGACCACCCATGAAGTCAGCCATTTATTTGATTACTTCCTAAATGTAACACTGACTGTTTTGTATCTGACTTCCTTTTTTTTTTAAGATTTTATTTATTTATTTGATAGACAGAGATCACAAGTAGGCAGAGAGGCAGGCAGAGAGAGAAGGGGGGGGAAGTAGGCTCCCTGCTGAGCAAAGAGCCTGATGCGGGGCTTGATCCCAGGGCCCCGAGATCATGACCTGAGCTGAAAGCAGAGGCTTAACCCACTGAGCCACCCAGGCGCCCCTGACTTCCTTTTTTTAAGACCATGAGGTTACTCTCTCTATAGCAGTATCCTAAAACTTTACTTGTAGTTAAGGTTCCCATACAATGCTATTAGCTCAATCTTCCAAGGTCATTTTTTATTTCTAAAGTGGAAGTAACAGCATTCTTGCCCTGGAATTTCTTGGCAGGGCACCCGACTTGCATTAAGAACTTGACAAGGGCCAACAGCATAATTTATTGTAATTTTTAAACCATGAAGTAATGTGTAAATGATTTTTTTTATAATAGAACTATTAGCAAAAGAATTTTTGCATCTAACAATTTGTGTCTCCAGAGTTTCTGTAATTGGATCTCTTCACCTAGAGCATAAATGGAGTCAGAGCTAGTTTATATTAGGTGTCCATATTGATAATGATGGAATGAATTGTGGCATTTCCCACATCCTTTTAAGCATCTCAAATTATACAGCAATAGTATATGTGCTTTTTTTTAAGCAATCAACTTTAGAGTCCTGAAAGATTTTCATTCAGTCTTTTGTTTTTCTTTTTCCTCTTCCCTATTAATAATCGCCCTCTTGAAAGCTGATTCATGATGGTGGCTTTCTGAGCTATCTAGGTTTACTAGCTTACAGGTTCTCAGGCTGCAGGACCAACAGCCTTATTCTGCCACACTTGAGTGGCCCTGTGCTACGCTGCCACGTCCCTTAGCTGTCCAAGAGTGAGATCACGATCCTTCATGTTGCAGATGATGCTTTTCAAATACAGGGAAGCATTGCCTCTGTTGGTCTATGGATGTTCTCCAGATGTTTCACTGGTTACATTTGACCTTCCTGTAGGGGATAATGGTTCTCAACCTTGGCTGCATATTGGATTCATCTGGAGAGCTGCATAAAACTCTTATGCCTGGGTCCTGCCCCACAGATTTTGATGTAATATGTCTTGGGTGTGACCTGAACATTGGGATTTTTTAGAGCTTCTTAAATCAGTGAGGATTGAGAACCCGCTGCGTAAGAGGCTTCTGTATCCTAGAGCTTTTAAGGTCAAGTTTATTTGTTTCCTTTATGACGTAGATCTTAGATTTTTGGGTAAAAGATTCATAAACAGGCAAACAGCTCTCTAGACATATCATTGATTAGTAGCCAATTTTATTAAAATCCATTCTTAACACCCCAACACATTTCCCCATATCTTTAGTATTCAGCTCTCTGCAGATGTCAGAAACAGCTAACTCACAAAGTATCCTACTGCCCGAACTCGTTCAGTGCACAGATGTGGTCCTCATCTCTCACCGGAACCCCAGGACTTTGTTTTCAAGTGCCAGGGAAGGAGATCCACCTGAACGGCTCTCATCTCCAGCACAGTCTGTATAAAGCTTCTCGTGCCCCTGTCCACCAGCCTCTCCCACGCTGCTCATAGCGTCCCATAGACCCTGCTCAAATCCCAGCTCCCACGTGCCGGCACGTGACGTCAGTTTCCTTAGTCACCGAGTGGTGGTGCCGGTGAGGATCATCATGCTGGCTTCGTAAACCTGCCAGGGTTTCCCAGGATCCCGTCTGGAAAGCTCGTGGCTCTGTGTGCACCGCAGGCGCTTCACAAATGACAGTTACTGCTGCTGTCTAAAGCTCGATGCTGCCGTCGGAGCTTCCCATGTTTCTTCCCTACTATCTGTTGGCAGTTCTCATTTCACGTTGTGCGTGCTTCTCCGAGTCACCACAGTCCCCTCAGGCCTGCAGGGCTGCAGCAACTCCTGGCCAGGTCGCTCCCCGCAAAACCCCTCCTTTCCTTCCCACCCTGAATCCACCCAACACACGCCGAAAACCCCTGCTTTAAAAAAACACCATGTGTTTGTAACTGCCTCGCTCAGGATCCTCTAACGTCTTCCCACTGCTCACCGCACCATGCTCAAACTCCTCAGCTGGGTTTTTTAAAATTCTTCACGTAATTTGGCTCCAACCCTCTGAGGAAATTTCCCAGTGACTCCACAGCACAACCCTGTGCTCCGGGTCAGTCTCCTCGGGGCCTTCCAGACAAGCCTGCGGCTCTTCTCCCAGCCCTCACTGCCCTGCCCCGTATAAGATACAGATCCTCCTCTGTTTACAAGGCCTGGCTCCCATAAAGCCCTCTTCTTGTGGCCTTTTCCATCTTGATCTCTGCTTATCCTCATTTGCCATTACTTTTCTGGAACACTGATCCCAAATGCAAAGACCGAGGGGGCCAAGCCGTTGGTATCATTGAGTGGTTGTGGCACATGCTTCATTTAATGGAACAGCTGCCCAATGTGGCCCTAAGGAAAGTGCAGGCCAGCTGTTGCAAGAGTTCCCAAGTGATCTTCAAGAGAAAATCTGTTTTGTTTTTTACTTGAAATCTCCTAATTTTTAAATGTTGGAAGTTAATTTAAAATCTTTAAAAACAGTTGTATGCCAAGCAAAATAGGTCATCAGGGCTGGGTACAGCCCAATTCTATATGGTTTTGTCCCCTGTGCTTTATAGTTTGTCCACCTCCTAGATTAGGACTTAATTATCTATCTGATTGTTTGATTTGTTTTATTTCTGTCTTCACAACCAAAATATCCACTTCAGCAGTCCCGCCTAACTCATTTTGAGTATACATTGCTGACTCTGACACAGTGTTAGCAATGAACAGTAATCACTTAGCTGACTCATTAAAGAAATATTTAATGAGCTTATGTGGTATGTAAGGCACAAGACTTTACAATTTATGTTTCCCAGTCCCATTTATTGTGTTGCAGAATATTTCATGGAAATGTGCAGTGTTTTTGTCATGGCTCTGCGTCTGATTCCCATATTTATCATCCATTTTTTTGTCCCACTTTGTTGGTTAGTCACCCTGTGGTACAAAGCTAGACTTTTCTGCAGAAAGAGGAACAAACTGTGTTGCTTTTACACGTTATTAATGAAACCTCCCGTTGGATGACATATGAAACATCTTTAGATTATCTGTGGATGATCCTAGCGCCTGGCACATATTAAAAGTGAACAAATCGCACTATTTATTCTTTGTGCAGCCAAGAAACATGTGAGTCTACAATTATGCCTGAATTGTCTGTTTATATCAAGATTATCCTACCCTACAATAGAAAATGTATGTGATTATAAGTCTGAAATAATTCTTATAGTGCATATCTAAGAATCATTTTGTACATTTTGTACATTTTCACAGGGCAAAGTCTGGAAACTCACTGTTCTTGGTTTATATACCACATGCTTTCACATTGTAACTTCCCATCTAATTGCCGTGATACCATCTCAGCAGCGAGCACAGGGAGATATTTCACCCTGAGCAGTTACCATTAGACATGAGTAATTCTGTTTGACTCATATGACTTGGGACTGAAAAGGGAAACATACTTGACACACATGGGCACCATTGTAACTATGCAAACAGGATTGTTGTTCTCAACCAAAATGCCACACAGCAATATATTAAGGCTTCGGGTCAGCTCTGCTCGAGCCTCCGACATGGGGAGGTGAAAAGTGAAGCCACTGAAGTAATTGTGTCCTTTCCCTTGTCGCCTGTGGCCTCAGCCCCCGGCAGTATTTTGTCACGGTGATGTGACGAGCATCGGGACATTGCCCAGACCCAGACCTTCTCTTTTTGTGGTTTGCCGCAGGTACTCAGCGTGCCAATGCCCGCGCGCCAGCCCCTTATAAGCGAGACTTTGAAGCCAAACTAAGGAACTTTTACAGGAAGTTAGAGACGAAAGGATATGGACAAGGCCCAGGGAAATTAAAGTAAGTCAAAATACAGACCTCAGGACTGGGTGACGGTGAGGAGATGGGATGCAGTCGGGAACATAGGAAACGGATTGTAATTTCGGATCACAGCCTTTGTTTTAGCCGGTGTAATTATTGTGGCATGTGGCAATTACAGGCTCATCTATGACAGAGTTCTGGATTAAGCACCATTCAGCTTAAGGTTTTAAAAACAAACACCACGTTCCTGTAAAAATATAGGCAAAATAAAAAGCTAATTTGTTTCTCCTGAAAAGCGCCTCTCTGTTCACTTACAGTGTTATTTGTTAGATAAAAGGCTGGCACGGTGTCCTCTACGGCACGTCACTGTCTCCTGACCTGACCTGAGTGTGCGAACACTGCTCAGCTCTGTTTTATTCTGTGGAATAAGCTTCACTTATCCAAAGAAATAGGTCTTCTGCCTTTCTTTACCCAACTTGAATGAGGAAATTTAAACATCATCATGTTATCTGGCCTAGAATTATTTTCATTCCCTACTTACCTATCCTTCCTTTATCCCCACCTCCACCCCTGCCTCATGTACCCACTAGAGATCCCTGTGCCCCTGAGAGAGTTCAGGGGAGGAAGGGTCTCCACAGCCACACTGCCATGATGCTGGGGGTCTGCGAAGAGGTCCAGGAGTGGTCCCACCGCTCCCCAGCTCACAGCCCCGCAGAGGGGCTGGCTCAAGTGTATTCTCAGGTCCCAGTTTCCTTACCCTTCAACACACTTCGGCCTGCCCAAACACCCCACTTCTCCGAGCTTTGCCTTTCTCACCCTTCACTTAAGAAGGTCTGGAGGGGCGCCTGGGTGGCTCAGTCGGTTAAACGTCTGACTCTTCATTTCAGCTCAGGGCTTGATCCTCAGGGCCATGAGTCCAAACCCCACACTGAGCTCCATGCCTAGCAGGGAGACTACTTAAAAACGAACAAAAAAGGAGATCAGAAGCTCAGCTTTCCCTGTGTCCAGCCTCCCTATCATTTCCCTTTCCATGACTATTTGCACTGAAGGCAAATTTTATCCGCTTCAGGATGACTTTCATTATGATCATCACAAGTGGATTAATGGGCCACAAGTATTCATTTGTAGCTGTCACTTGGGGAATCTCAGATTCACTTAATTTAAAAATTAAGCACAGGCATAAACCTGACTGCTTTGGAGAACATGGGGAGGTTTGGTTTGTTGTTTTTTCTTTTTTTTTCCCCTCTCCTGGTTCACACAGTCATCTCTGTGCATACTTAGTAATTGAATTCCTTGTCTAGGTGCATTCACGCTTAAAACATGACCTCATCGGGTTGTCCTTCCTTAGTAAACAAAAGTTTTGTGTTTGTATTATTTTAAAATCATCTTCCTTCTGGGATAAATTGATTTGACCATTCAGAAAGAGCTCGGGACTTGTTTTTATATGTTGTAGGTGGGGTGCTTTGCTTACCAACAATTCACTTAATGTAATTTTTGCTTCTACTGTTAAGAGTTCAAGACAAATATGCATTATTGCAGCCAGAAATGTATTAAGTCACTCCCCTTTCCCCCGGTTAACTATGGTAAATGAGAAGGGAATCAAAAGTGCCCAGTTCTAGAAAGATAAGGATTAGGAAATAATCTGTTTTTCACATTGTCTTTTTATGGACAGGTTAATTATCAGAAGAGATCACTTACTGGAAGATGCTTTTAATCAGATCATGGGCTACTCCAGAAAAGACTTGCAGAGAAATAAGCTGTACGTCACATTTGTCGGGGAGGAAGGGTGAGTAGAACAGAGAAGTGGCGTGTGGAGCACGGGCTGGGCTGCGGAGGGCTGTGTCACCACATGGTCATGGTCGCTGTGGCTGCCTGAGACAGGAAACCATGCTGGCAGGAAATGCCATTCTCAGACACATAAACCTCTCAGCTTTTTTTCTTCTTTTCTTTCTTTCTTTCTTTTTTCTTTTTCTTTTTTTTTTTTTAATGGCTTTCTCTGTTTTTTAAATCATTTGACAGAGAATTTATTTGGTAAATACTCATAACTATAGATCATTTTTGAGAGCAGAAGTTTGGTTTGGTTTCTTCTCTCTACATCTCCTTCTTAAAGGGAAAAAGTGGGGCGTTGGGGGAAAAAACAAGAGTCGAATTCTAATGTCTATGATGGTTTTGTCCGTGCTGGGTGTGAGTAGAACAGCCTTCATCTGTTAAATACGCTAAGTTTTAGAATCACATTAGAATCCTGCTCTGCTACCAGGAAGCTTCTACAACAGTAATTCCTGGGCCTCGGTTCTTATTTCTCTGTTGCCAGTTTTTCTCTTTTTTTTTGGCGGGGGACAGCAACACGCCTACCAAAATAACAACCTGCCCTAGACCAGCATCTCTGGCCTTCTGTGAGTCTTCCATGAGTGTGCTCATGGAGATAAGGGTTCAGGAATGAAGGAGCGAAGAATCCTACACGCTTTTTACTGCATCCGAATACACACAGCCATTCTCATATAACACTCGAGAAGGTGACAGCTCTCCTCTTGTCCAGACCCCTCCTCCTTCCTCATTTCAGGTTTGAGTTTCGAGTCTCAGCACCTCCTTTGTAACCCAGCCATCACTAGAGCAAATTTAAAAAGTACCACATGATGGCCTGAACTCGGGTTGTCTTATTGACTCTCAATTTGGATCATTTTAAAGCTACCCTTCTCAGTCCTGCCTCGGAATAAAGTATATTAGATTATAGACTCTTAGGAGTAACATCCAACAAATCCAGCCATCCAGCATATGGTTACTTTGAAGGCTCCCAAGTAAAAGTAATTTGCAGGTGCTAGTGGAACTAGATGAGAGTAAAATCAGGACTCAGATCTGGGCCTTTCATCCGGGACTCTTGGGCCAGCACTGGATAGAGGCAAAACTGTTGAACTCTGGTCTTTCAGAACTTTTTCCTACCCATGGATCTTTTCACTATTCCAGCTGACTGATAACCCCTGCTCTCGTCACATATTATGTGTTCAGTCTCCCAGCTGTGACTAGCTTAAAGTAGAATGTTATATGGGAAAACAGTACTAGGTGACAGAATTGGACGGAAGCTTGCCTGAGACTTGTTTTGATTAGTGAAGGGCCGTAGTGGGCTTCTAGCTTATGCTAGTTGGCGTAAGATGCAGGTGCACAACTGAAATGATGTTTTAAGCCTAGTCATAGGTGTGCATGGAATTCCAAATATTTGCTTATATAACCAGTCTCATTTGGATGAGAATACTTTTCCTCCCCCAGAGCTCCAGCTGCTCTCCTTCTTTTTTGGACCATAGTTTGTTGAGATCTTAGAGACGTAAGCAAGAGTCTTTGGAAGCCCTGGTACTTAAGTTTGAATAGAGCAGATGCTTATCATGCTCGATCATCCTAAAGTAGTCTCCCTGTGATCTGGACTGATGGCATCTGTTCCCAGGCTGAGTGTGGTTTGATAGCTCTATCTGCTTGCCGCCAATGTCCAGATGTTGCCTGTTTCCATCACCCGTCTCCTAGCTATAACCCCAGAGGGAAAACAAGAGGGGGGCGCTTTGAATTGTGACCTCAGCCATCAAGAACAGCCATAATCAACCCCCTCTGCTTAAGGCCCTTTGAAGCTGGAGTAATAGGGTCAAGTAGTTTCTGGTCTCATGGCTTTATCATGTCGATATCGTACCTAGAGATTATTAGATTAGACTACACTTTGCTGCTAAGGCATTGAGAATACATAATGCTGTTTTGAAAGAATAAAATAGCACTCTTGCTGAAAAATGGAAACCTCAAAATAACATAAAATTAAGAAGGTATTTTAGACTTTGCCACCTTCTCAAACACATTAATTCCATTGCATTAAAATTAAAGATAATGACATTTCTTTCTGGATTGTAATAAATATCCAAAGTGAAAATCTACTTGCATTTTTCCATGAAACTATAAATGTGGAGTTGGGAGTTTTCTGTCACTTTCCCCTCATTAATTTTAATGCTCACGAAATGTGTCCCTTTCTAAGTTCTTCATGTCTAGTCCTAGTAATGGGTATTTAAAATATATACACCCAGTGACTAGATCTTGGTTTGTAATATCATTCTTCAATAAAAGGAACTAGTACTCCTTGGGGAAATGACTGATTCTAGGATGGAACAGGAAATATATGAGATGGGGCTTGAAGTGTCTTGTAGTGTCAGAAAGTAAAGAAGTGCTCAAAATTTTCACAATGATGGGGCTATGTCAGAGGGACACAAGAGCCAACGGAAAGATCTCCCAACTGTCTGAGCAAGAAAACGATTAAAGTAAGATTGGATTATAATTATAACCCAAAGTATAAAATAAATATCTGTACTAATATAAATATGTGATTAAATAAATAAATGAATAAATAAAGAGTAGACCAGTCTCCTGTGCAGAAGATTTCCAAACAAGTCAGCATAAATCCTCACTCCTTAATTGTGGGTTGCACATAATGGCTTTCTTCCAATAGTACAGTTTGGGAAGGGGGAAAAGAAGCAAGTCCAGAAGGGAGATGCCTGAGAAACTCTCAGCCAGGTGATCAAGGTTGAAGTCAGCAGTGATACATCATGCTAGGGCATGGGCCCTTCATATGATGTGATGAAAATGGCACTTGGCCTCTATAGTTTTTGTCCCCCAAACCCATAATAATAGTCTATTCATGAGAAGAACAACAGGTAAATCCAAAGGAGAGACATCCTCTAAGATAGCTTACTGGTACACCTTCAAACTGTCCCGGTTGTCAAAAACAAGGAAAGTCTGAGAAACTGGCACAGCCAGGAGAAGCCTAGGGAAACAGGACAATTAAATGTAAATATGGTGTTTTGGATGAGATCCTGGTACAGAAAAGGGACATTAGGTATAAAATTTAAGGAAATCTAAATGAAGTATGCGTTTTAGTTAATACCTTAGTATCTGTTCATTAATTATAACTAATGTACTATATACGATGTAAGATGTTCATAAGAGGGAAACTGGGTATGACGTATACAAGAATTCTCCATATTATCTTTGTAACTTTTCCGTAAATAAAAAACTATTCTAAAATGAAACATTTACTGAAAGAAAGGATATAGTCAGGATTTGGGGGTGATTTAGGAAATGTTTCCCCGAGCTTTTCTTATTTCCTTATTGGATAGTGAGTGGGTGCCACCAGAGTAATTTTGGGCACGTGTATACTTCCTTCTGCACTTGAGGTCAGTAGAGTTACATATATAGAGAAACAGTTAATTTTGTGAGAAGCCCAAATTCATGGGGGGGTGTATCTGTAGGGTAGTGTTTTGTGTTGCTGATGTCAAGTTTATTTTTCTCTATGGGGGAATAATACTTTGCAATTCTTATTGGTACTATCTCAGTGATTATATTCCCTACCTGTCATAATCAGGGTCTTTATTTACAATAGAGAAGTTAGGACATAAAGAGAAGGGGATTTATTTTTAAGAAAACTGCATCTGCCCGCACTCCAAGAAAGTATGGATTAGCAGATTCATAGAGACACTTCAGCTCTGCTTTTGGCTGTCTTGTTGCATAGATCTGAAACACACATAAAGACCGTCCTGAAATGGAAGAGCAGAATCGAGAGAAATGTGGGAAAATTTATAGTCAGAAATTTACCAGGTGACTTACAAATTCCATGTGAGGCAAAATTAATCTCAGAATAGGGGCTCCTGGGTGGCTCAGTTGGTTAAGCGACTGCCTTCGGCTCAGGTCATGATCCTGGAGTCCCGGGATTGAGTCCTGCATTGGGCTCCCAGCTCCAGAGGGAGTCTGCTTCTCCCTCTGACCTTCTACCCTCTCAGGCTCTCTCTCACTCTCTTTATTTCAAATAAATAAATAAATAAATAAAGTCTTTTAAAAAAATCAATCTCAGATTATTGGTGAAAGATACATTCACTTTTTAGGATATACATAGAGTTGTAGAGCCTATTACTGGAAGTGTATTAGTTGATAAGTAATTATTATTTTTTGCTAAAATAGTGCTTCATGTTATGCTTGGCTTTTTACAAAAAGCAGACAGTTGCTAAGCAAACTACTGTGATTTAATGTGGTCAGAACTGGAGGTTTTGTTCTGGTCATTACATTTTCCACCCAAGTTAACTTGGTTCTCTGGCCTTGCAAAGTGGGAAGGATGGCAGGTCAGCAGTGGCAGAATGGCTGGAAACTGAGTCATCTTGACAAAATGTGGTGGGAAATTACATGCTGTGGTTACCTCTCTCTGTTGGGCTTCTGTCTGCCTGGAAATTGCTTCTGTAGGAAGGAGGCCAGTAGAGCACTCCATGTTCTCCAGCATATTATTTTCTTCTTAATTAAAAGCTCTAGCAACTAAAGCTTATGTGGGATCAAGACTTAGCTAGGGGGACTGTTGTGTTCTGATAAGGTGTCTTGGGCCATTAACTTCTCCGTACCCCAAACAGTGAGGACAAAATGGCCTGGATAAAGAAAGGATGTTTACACTGGGATTGCCTCGCCTCTTTGTTCCCTCCACGGCCAAATCTGTAAAAGGCACCTTTCTTTAAGAAAGAATGAGTTCATTATACGTAAGGTGCCATCTATTGGCATCAATCGTCTGTCTTGCAAAACCACACTTTGACTAGGGAGGGGATGTGTGCCATCCCCTCCCCATCTGTTCTTAAACAGATGAGCTCCTTCTGTGATATTTCTCCTGAGAAGCCAATCAAAGTCACGAGGAGGATGAGATCCGGAACGGTTTGCCTGCATCTCTGCTATGAAATAACCAGCAGCTCTTACATATGATTGGTCTCATCCTTGCTAGAAGTTGTTTGGGGT